GTTAGCTGTCACGGTCATTTGGGGAGTGAAACAGGAAATGGAAGATATCTCTCCCTGTCTCTACCTCATCCTGTAACTCCTGCCTTCAAACAAATAACCAAATCTAAAGGAAAAAATTGATATTTAAAGTTAAATATATGCTCTTCATACTGCCATGTGAACAAGTTGTTGCCAATGAAATATATGGGGGATTTTGAGAATGTCCCTTCCTAAACAAAAAGATAAAGTTTGGCAAGGGGCTCTTGTGCAGTTCAACACTTAATCCCTTCCATCACCCTTCCTGAAACATTAAAGTGATAGCTGAAGTTAGCAATCATTTGTAGCCATGAGGATAAAAACTTTGCCTTAGGGGCTACAGTGGTGACATAGCAAGCTAATCTTCTGTCTGTGGTGTCAGCACACAGGTCCATGTGGGAGACCTAGAAGAAGCTCCTGGCTCCTGACTTTGGATGGGCTCTGCTCTGATAACCACAGGTATTTGGGGTATGAACCATCTGTTAAAAGATCTCTCTCTCTCTCTCCCCATCTCTCATTCTGTCCTTTCTCTCTGGAAGTTTGCTTTACAAATAAAAACAAATAGATTTTTTTTTTTTTTAAAAAAAAAAAGCAGTTAAAATGTTGCCTTATACAAAAGACAGAAAGAACAAAGGTCTGGGTTCCTCATAGCATCACTATTGCACAAAACCCAGGCAGATTGCTTTTCAACACTTTCACAGGAGAAAAGAAAAACCACTGAGGATGAATTTCTATTAAGTGACCCAAATGCTTATCTGCGGCAGAGCTAAACTGCAGGCCCAGTGTGCGACTGAACGTCATTCTCTTCTCCACCACATGGAGACTTGCTGTCATCTCGGAGCTGTAGAAATGAGCAGAATAACATTTATAAAATCTTGGTAACAGTGGTAGGAGGCGGTTATGAAAATATGTCTACAGTTCTTTTTTTCCAGGCAGATCTTTGCCACCCTTGCCCCCTCCCACATGAGCTCCCTCACCCACACATCCTGCCTCCACGTGGCCAGAGGCACCCACTGCCTCAGTGAAGATTAGGATTCTGAAATAGGAAGGCAAAGACAAGGGAGCGATAAGAATGAAGCCTAATTAGTTAGCCTGAAGTCCAATTTGTCTATGCTGTTTTCTTTTTTTCTAAGAAGAGTTTTCAAAACTAATGGTTTGCTTCCTTCTCAACCACTCACAATAACAAATCTGATAGGTTGCTTTTAGTGCCTTTTTTCTGGTTATGCTGTTATTATGAATTTATAGCAATATTGGTTTGTTAAAGCAATTTGTCATCTTCTTCGATGATCAGATTGGCCTATTTCAATTGTTTCATGTTTATTTTGACATGATCCTAGTAGTAAATGGCACCTTCCTTGCTTCCTACCAGTATGCATAGAAAGAATGTTGGCATGAGGGGGAGAAGGAGGTATGATGACTGATCTCGAGTTCGTGATACTCAAGCTAGTGCCACTCCATGTGGCTTTATACTATTCTCTTATACTTGTATATGTTTGAAGTTTTCCAAAATAAAGGATAAAGGTTTTCAAAAATCAACCTATTTTTTAAATTTTATTTTATTATTTTATGAGACAGTTCTATAGGTTCTGGGATTTCCCTTGCTCTCTCCTCAAATCCTCACTCTCACTGATTTCCCCAATATTATTACTCCATTACAGCCATTAAAAAGAATGAAATTCTACCATTTACAACCAAATGGTCCCAACTAGAGACCATCATTATGCTTAGTGAAATAAGTCAATCCCAAAAGGACAAATATCATATGTTCTGTCTGATACAAGGCATTCTTCACTCAAAAATAAGATCAATGCTGTTTCTGCCACATCTTCTGGGTTTTGATATTTTTGCTTTGTTTTCATTTCTTCAGCCATGGCTTTTAAAATAGGATTGTGAAGTAATTATCAAAAGAAGAGTCTTGAAGACATTGTTGGCAGAGAAGAAATTTTCTTTCTTCTTTTGTTTTCTTTCCTTTCTTTTTTCTTTGTTTCTTTCTAAGACATTTCTATGTCCCCAAGTCCACCCTTGATTCAAGAGTGAGCCAAGAGGTCTGAATGATGTAGAGCTGGATTCTGAGCCTCAGGGAGTGAGTTTGGGGGACATTCCAGATATTCCATTTGAGGAGGTGAGGGAATTCTCTGGGCTGGGATGCAACAGAAGAAAAGGGGGGAGAAGGAAACGTGTGCCCAATGGCCTTAGCCTAGAGGGCCAGCAGATAGCGTCGGTGATGACCACAGGAGGTTTCACGGTACCCAGATTGTCTTGTCCTCCCATTCCTTGGTCCAGTTCTTGTCTTCAGTCTCTAATGTGCCTCACTCCGATTCTGGTGGCCAATAGGCTCTTGCTTTCACAGTAGGAAGGACCACTATGTGGGGAATCCTGAGGCCAGAAACCTGTCAGCCGCTGGAAATGACACTTCCCCGGACCATGAAATCAAACAGCAGTCTGCAAGACTAAAGACCCTTTGGTAAACGCCCATTCACGCTGGAGAGTCCAGGCACCCTTCACCTGCTAGCTCACCCGCAGTCCTCCCGGCCCCTTTCATCCACGTCTTTCTCCCCATTATGCAAGAAATCTCCTGCCAAAGAAGCGCAGATTCCTATCACTTCCAGCAGACTACGGGAAAAGAGGAGGTGCGCAGCATAGGTGACCCCAAAGTTGACAGCACTTTCAGGCTTTAGAAATCTGGTGCATCACGCACCTGTACAATTTTTTCTGTCTGACCTTGCTCGCCTGCAAATCCTGACCCCCATCCCCACTGCGGAGAAATCTCCTAAGAGACCGCTGCCTGCGTTGCCTTTGCGCCCAGGAGGCGTGGAGCCCAGGACTGGGGAGCAGAGTGCGCTGCGGCCCCGCTCCCGGCGCACAGCCGAGAGGGAGGGGCCGGAGGGCCCGGGCAGCGCCAGACGCGGAGCGCAGGGCTCACAGCCGCTCAGTCTCCTCCAGAGCCCAGCCCCGGCCGGCGAGAGCCGCGACCAGCGCCAGCCCGAGCCCCGGGGCCTCGGAGCAGGGAGGCTGAGGGCCAGAGAGGGCGTCGGGCCGAGGTTCCCAGTCTTGTGCGCGACCTCTTAGCGGATCCCGGTAAGTGTGGGAGGCTGTGCCCTGCCAAGCCTCCAGTGCATGGCCGTGTCCCCGGCTCCGGGTTGCGAGCATCCCACTACTGCACCGCCAGACTCACAGGTGGATATGCGGTGGATGTAGGTGCCCCAGGCCCCGCCAGGAGTTAACCAACTCTGCTCCGGGGCGAGGTTTCCGCGCCCTTGCCTCTCCCACCCTTGCTTCCAGCTGGGGATATGAGATGTGTAGCAGGGCCTGCTGTCCGGGGAGACCCGCGGGGGGGCTCTCCCCTTCCCCAGCCTCCCACAAAGGATCCGGCGGCATAAGGGCCAACCGCCTCTCCAAAAGCATCCCAAGCTGCCAGCTCTCAGGTGCGGCATCTGCCTTTTAGTTTTTATTCCTATTAGCCCACCAGGGAAAGTTTGGGACTATGAAAGGCAAAGTTGGGGTGCTGCTGGGGGCACACTTTGCCTGCAGAGAGAAAGGCGGTTCTTGGGGAGCAGAGCAATGGGCTTGCCAGGAGAGCTGGAGCTGATCTTCCGCCCCGGGAGTTCTGTCTGTCCCTGCCAGGAGCCGGGCCAGGCATTGTGAGAACCCTGGAGTGCTCAGTCGCTTAATCTTTCTGCTAAGCGCTGACAACCGCAGTGAGCCAGAATGTGTGTTGGGTTTGTGTTATCTCAGGAGGAGCGGCGACTCAACCTGGTTTGACCTGGACCAGCTTGGTGCTGCGCACCACAGCTCGAGCTAATCCTGCTGTTTAGGTAGCGTGGGTTTAATTAGCTTATTTTACACCTGAGATGATCTCAGCCAATGCCTTTAAAACGAATTTGTTGTTGTAGAAGAGGGAAGCAGTGCTTTTAAGGAAAATTCACAAAGGAACCTTCAGGATATCAGCTGTCCTGGCTGAATTGAAATCCCTCTTCCGTGGGATAGAGAAGGAAAACAGACAGTGTAAGGGCTTTGGGAAGTAGATGTAGATGAAGGTACTGCTGCTGCTGACATGTTGTTTATGAACTATGCACTTGGTCGCTAGAAATAGCCTACTTGTTATTTCACTGCATTGGGATTTGATTTACTAAGCTATTTTAAATATGGACTAACGGTTTCTTTTCCCAAAAAAACCTTTAGCTCAAAACAAGGTGTACTAAGCAGATAACTTATTCATGTCACCAGAGAGTCCTTTGGTGAACTTATATTTTCTAAAGAATACTTTTCTGCAACTGATTTAATAATGCTCTTTCCAGGCAAAGAGGAAAAAGAGATATTAAAGTCTTTATGTGTACAGAAAATAAACATTGCCTCCTCCAATATTCGACTCCTTCCAGATAATAGATTAAATCAGAAAAATGTTCCTACCACTAGGAATTACATAACTGAAGTAAAGGAAAGCATCATGAATAATTAAATAATTGTCATCAATTATCTGGATAGTTCTGGAAGAAGAGGGACTTTTTAAAAACACGTTAAAGGGTTACATATTTTGTTACATAAGATGTGATAAATTTATAAGCTTTCACTTATACAATGTTCATACTTAGGCACATCTGTTAGGTTTACTACTAATGTTGCACCTTTCAAAATGTTTATTTGGCTTTAGGCAGCCATGATTGTAAGTGCCTACTATAGGGCATGTTTTAACTCATCTTAAAGCAATCCTAGGTGGTAGATACAATAATTGTTCTGATTTTCTTAAATGGGAAAACTGAGCAACACAGAAGTTAAGTAACTTATCCATACAGCTGCAGGTTAGGGCTTGATCTTACCTGCAAAACTCCTTGTGTAAAAATAGTAGGAATTTATAATTAAATATTCTTGTTTTTCATTTTCATTTAGGCATAAATGATAAAAATTTCCCACGAAGACTAAGAAGTCCTGATTGCAAAAGTGGCCCACAAGCACCATTAACTGTAAAGTAAGGAAAAGTATGAAAGGACCATCTATCTGAATCTGAAGTCTGAGAACGACGACACCACCAGTAGATCCAGGATGGATTTCCACCGAAGCCCCACCATCACGGCCCTTGAGAAGTGGGGTTCTGATGAGTCACCATCTGACTGCAGGAGACGTTATAACGTCAGGAAAAAACTGAAGTGGATTCGAATCTTAGGCCTCTTTCTGGGCCTGGTAGCCATTAGCACTGTCCCATTTTCAATCAGTGCCTTTTCGGAGACAGACACACAGAGTACAGGAGAAGCAAATATTATCAGTGGCCCCAGGGTAGCACATGGTTACCATCACAGAACTCTCCTAGATCTAAATGACAAGATTCGGGATTACACTCCACAGCCAGCTCTTTCTCAGGAAGGCAAATCTGAGAATAGCACAGATCATGCCCAAGGAGACTACCCAAAAGACATCTTTTCCCTTGAGGACCGAAGGAAAGGCGCCATCATTCTCCATGTTTTGGGGATGATTTACATGTTTGTAGCCTTAGCCATTGTCTGCGATGAATTCTTTGTTCCTTCTTTGACTGTCATCACTGAAAAACTGGGCATCTCTGATGATGTGGCAGGTGCCACCTTTATGGCTGCAGGGGGGTCAGCCCCAGAACTCTTCACATCTCTCATTGGGGTGTTTATTGCTCACAGCAACGTTGGCATAGGCACAATCGTAGGTTCAGCAGTGTTCAATATCCTCTTTGTTATTGGCATGTGTGCTCTCTTTTCTAGAGAAATCTTGAACCTGACGTGGTGGCCACTCTTTCGGGATGTGTCCTTCTACATTGTTGACTTGATCATGCTAATTATTTTCTTCCTGGATAACGTTATCATGTGGTGGGAAAGCTTGCTTCTCTTAACTGCTTACGTTGGCTATGTGATTTTCATGAAATTCAACGTCCAAGTAGAAAGATGGGTGAAACAGATGCTAAATCGCAATAAAGTCGTCAAGGTGGCAGCACCAGAGGCCCAAGCAAAGGTTGGTGATGGAAGCTTTTCTATCGAATACTTCTACTGATCATAGTACTGAATGTTTATATTTTTAAGAACAGCCTTTTTTTTTTTTTAATGTGGTGCTGTTTGCAGCTGGACTGGATAGCATATTGAATTCTGCAGTTCTGTGGTAGCTAGACCAACATGACAGTGAGCACAAAGACTCTTGTAGGAAATTCTTATAAATGTCTACTTAGTTCCCAAGCTATTTGATTCAGAGTAAAACATTGGTAAATGTAGGTTACATAAGCATCCCAAAACATATTTGGCAGCTGCCTTTTGTTTCCCAAAACCAGGCACAATGAGTTTGTGAACAATGCTATCTTGATGGGAAAGGGTATATATGTGCCTCTTAAACTGCAGCATTTTTTCTTTTGCTATAAACCCATGATCGTTAGTAAGCACCATCTTCTAAGGATGTTTTGGAAAGATAAGTTTGCTTGTGTCACCCGAGCTGCACCTTCAGGTCTGCAGCTGAGTCCCAGCAGGTCTGGTCATTAGAGTGGGCATAGTCATTTTCCTTGATTCACATATCAGGTTTCATATCACCTAACAGGCAATGTGAAGAGAGCCTTTGACCAACGCTGCCATTGGCATTTGTGTTGTAATGGTCCACTCACTTTGCATACCCTGATAAACATGACCCAAAACATTGTGATGGAACTTGAGGGAGGCATTTTTAGACAACAATGGCCATTAAGATGAGAAGCAGACTGATGAAGAGCTTAAAGAAGAAATTGATCTGTAAAAATGTCAATTATGTTTTAAATAATGAATAAGCAATGCCAATAAAAATTTTATTGTGCAGTTCTCATTCATAGCTTGCAGTGGAATATCACCTTTGAATATGATTTTAAACAGAAAACCAAAATACACAAACTTTGCATCTAGCAAAATTCTCACATGAGCAAAAAATAGATATTTGAGCAGGGGGTACGATTTTTAAACAGAAAATAAGAGAAAATAACATTTACTTAGCCATATTTACATAATACCTTCTGTAGTCAAGTTGATGACCATCACTTTTGAAGTTGCCATGAAATGGAAACAAATTGTAGGGGGGAAAAAAGCCCATTGGTTACATTTCTGTGTGTTGTATGCAAATGTTTTGTGTCACAGTTTTTCTAACATTTATCTCAGTGTATGGCTGGTTGTTAAAAAGTATGACTTAAAAATTCACTTAGCAAAATATCTAGCAAAGCAACTGAGTGTTTGTCCTTCGGGGATTATGAGGCTTCTCTCTGCTCTTAGAAGCCAAAAAGTTGATACCTCAGAGCCTCCCGTCAAACCTGGGTGGTTTGCATTATAATGTGTGACTGTTCCGATTAGTATCTGGAATGATTTTTTTCAAGGAAAGGTATATATGATTTCTCATAAACATCTTGGGCACATCAATGGTAAAAAAGGGTTTTGAAGGTGAGTACCTTTGGCTTTGTAGAATTGCAGGGACAATTCATTAACCTGGAGACTTGGCTGATGAATACATTGGCAACACAGTAATCCAGTGGCGTATGTGAGATTGCAGCAAGATTTTGCATTCCAATTTTAGTGGAGAAAGAACTGGTTTCCTGCATTGGGAAATAACTTTAAGTGCAGGTTATTAAAGTTGTATTTAGTCATTTTTTCCATAATTTATGCCAGTATTCCAACCTGAATGCCTCGATATTTGGTATTCAGGGTCAACACACTGTGCTCTACTTAATATTGTGTGGTTTTTAATTTGGAAATTCTGGGTAAACCTAACTAAAATAGAAGGAAGTTTATAGATATAACTGTTTCTTCTGTTTCTGATTCCCCCCCACACACATGTGTTGATTATATTAATTTCCTTTCAATACCAAAGAGCTCTAATTCAATGTGTTTAGTAATTATTATTTTGGTTTTGATACCAAATGGGAGTAAAGAGTTTTTTTTTTAAAACAAAACTTGTTTGGCAACCACAATATTAAAATACAGTCATGTTAGATGAAACAAGATGATCATAACATGTTTTCCTCCAGGAGGCTTCACCTTACCAATTTCACTTTTGAATTGTTGCTGGAAGATATTTTTCCAGCGGTTACAGCCTGTGTGCTATGTCCAATTCAAGAATCCTAAGGTGGTTTGCTCTCCAAGTTCTGAACAGGTGTTTCAAACTAGGATGCATCCTGAATGTGACCATCAGCTCTCTGGCCAGAGAGTTGATTTCTAGCTTTGGAGTCCACATTTTCTGCAGAAATCAGTGCCCCTGATATAATCAAAGCACGTACAAAAAAGGATCCTTGGCTGACTGTGACCCTCAATTGGATCTTCATAGAGAGGAACCTGCTGCAAGCATTTTTTTGGTATAGCCACTTGGAGTCTTACTAACATTTACTTTTTTTTTTTTGGCATGAGAGTTTGAAAAAATTGACAAATACATTTTAGATATTCTTTCACATTCATCAGATGGTCCTTGTTACAAAAGCATCAGTTCTGCCAGACTGAAGGCAATGAAATATCTTTGAAATTACTTGTTTCATAACAAGTTGAAAAATTTAATTCGGTTCAATTATTGATGCTGCATGTCGTGGGGTAGTTGTGAAACGTGGGGAAATTTAAACTGGTATTTTCTTTCCTCATTAAAATAGCATTGTTATATTGTTTTTATTTTATTGTTATTGTTATTACTACCATTTACCATAGTGATACTATAACATTTTTTTCAAGGTTGTGACAGGGGAGACACTGGTGCTTTGATTTGAGAAAAAGGGGCATGAAGCTGAGCAATAAGCCTAGAAATCTCAGATAATTTATTTAAACTCTCTTGAGTCTCAGTTTCCTAATTTGGAAAATTAGAATAATACCTACTTTATGGGGTTGGGAAAATATTGAGGGAAGACATTTATGTTAAGCATGAGTAATCTTCTTGGTAAATGTAGATTGTGCCATAAATGTTAACTTCTTTCCTTTTATTCTGTTCTTAAATGAAAAGTGAATCATTATAAATTATTTTAGATGTGAGAATTACAAAACATTTTTCACAATTGAATTTATTCCAATGGATCATTGATTTTTAGCAGGCATGTGTCTTTCAGAGGCATATAATATCTGTCATATTATAAATATAAATCTTAGTTCATATATAGTGGTTATATGGAGTCCAAATAGACTCCAAAGAAACTTCCAAATGAATTCATGAATTTTTTGGTGTAGAATTTTACTGGAAATAAACAGGTCATTGGCTGAGGTTTAGATGTGACTATGTGAAGCAGAGCTTTTTTTTTTTTTTAGAATGTTTTTATTTATTAATGATTGGGGCTCTCTCTGAAAAATTCATCCATAACTGGTTGGGAATAAATCTGAATCCTGTGGGAGCTGGATTTCAGGACACTGAATTCATCTTGCTGTGTACCTAGCTGGACTCCTGGGATCTGTTGATCTGCTGTGCTAAGGCTGCCATTGGCCTAGAAAGCAGCTGTCCATGGTATTTAACTTCTTAGTCTTGACACTATAATCTGACAGTAAGTCGACCTGGTTCTAATAAAGGCAATGATCTAAATAAAGATTGGTAAAGCTGGGTAGTTGTTAACCTAAACTCCTTAATAAGTTAGGTGTGTCTTCCTTTATTCAATTTTTATATTCCTGAAAAGTTGTAAACAGACTTTTGCAATTCAAATTGCTATTAATATTCTTGGAAAAGTCTGAATTAGAATAATATAAGTATTTTTATACAATAAAGTATTTCTTGTAAGATGTTAAGTCATAAATAATTTTATAAATACACATGTAAATCCCTAAGCCTACATAAGATACAAAATCTTCTTTTCAAAGATTTATTTGTTTTTATTTGAAAGGCACATTTACAGAGAGAAGCAGAGACAGATATATATATTTACTATCCACTGGTTCATTCTCCAAATGGCTACAAGGCTGGACCTGGATTAGTCTGAAACCAGAATCCTGGAAATTCTTTTCAATCTCCCATGTGAGTGCAGGGACCCAAAAATTTGGGCCATCTATCACTGCTTTCTCTGGCACAATAACAGACAGCATATCAGAAATGGAGCAGCTGGAATTTGAACCAACATCCATTTGAGATGCCAAACCTGCAGGTGGAAGCTTAATGCGCTTTGGCACAGTGCCAACCCCAATACAGAATCTTTTATAAACCCAACCTTCAAGCCTTTGCATGTCGGGTAAATAAATTAGTAAAATTGCTGTCCAACATTTATGGAAGATAATACAATGCACGAAAATGTAGTTTTTTGAAAGATGTGAAAACTGTAATTATTCTCAGAGAAACAAGTTTAGTTGTTAAAAATTTTTAACTGATGAGATGCTTACAATGTCCTGTGCTTATTTGGGGACACCAAATGATGCAATTTTCCTTATTTTGTTTCCCTCTACTAACTTACTGCACATGATTAAGAGAGAGAACAAAGCATTGTAGAGAGGCTGGTGGAGCTTAATATACACAGTGAAAATAGGCCTTGAGGCTTCCTCCTGGGTACTCTGAGTTTCCTGGCAGGAGACCTACACATTGCAACTCTTTCTGGTAACCCAGAGAACCAAATCTTCCTCCTTTCACTACCACCCCCCTTCTGTTTTCCTCTCCCCTCTCTACCTATTGTCACTTCCTTTAATATTTTGTGGAGGGTGGAACCTACTTATTTGTATTTTTTTAGCAAAGAATGAGATTACTGTGTTAAGCTGCTCTCTGGCCATTGAGAACATACTACCTACAGTGTAGATTTAACAGGTTTAGTTATTATTTTCACAGTTTTGATATTTATTTCCAATCTTCCTTTGTTTTATATTAGTCTCTAGTAAATAGAATATAACAGCACTTTAAAAATTCAATTTGAAAATCATTTTCCTTTAACAAGAAAGTTCAGTTTGTATTGATTATGGTTATATTTGGATTCTTTTGTATTTGTTCTGATCTGTTTCCTTTATGCTTTTTCCTGAGTTTTTTTTTTTATTTTTATTAAATTGTTTCCTCATCTGTTTTCCCCTTAGATGCTT